GGTCCCGCCCCCAAAACCCCCAATTCTAATCGTCATGTTTTTGCAACTTTGTTTCTGGGTTGTTTCCGATGTTCGAGCAAACTGAGAGTACGTCCGACGGCATGTAAATACTACTTACCGGTATATATGAATAAAGAATCGGATGAGAATCAAATGAACAACAATTTATTACAACGCGAGCTTGTACTTGTCGGGGATGCCGGTGTAGCCGGGCTTTTTCCGAATGATGCCACGTTCGATGAGGTGGTAGGACATTTCGACGAGGGAGTCGGAGGGGTCACGGAATTCGAGGCCGAGCAGGCGTTTGGCCTGGAAATATTATAGATTTGTGCCCTATGGCACTCTCCAGCTCTCTCTCACTCTCGCTCTCTCTCTCTCTCTCTCTCTCTCTCTCTCTCTCTCTCTCTGCCTCTCCCCCTCTCTCTCATTCGCGCTTGCTCTCCCGTTCTCTCTTGGCTATCTCACTTCCCCCTCTCTCTCGCTCTCTCTCGCTCTTTCTATCTCTCGCTCTTTCTCTCTCTCTCTCCTCTCCCTCCCTCTCACTCTCTCTCTCTCTCTTTCACTTTAGCCCTATTTTGTGGTCTCTCTTGCCTAACCGTTGCCAATTTTAAGATTTAGTGAAAGGAGACAGACAACAGAAAAATAGAGAGAGAGAGCTAGGGAGATAGTGAGAGGAAAGCTTTTGGCAAGCACGTTTGATAAGATCTCAAAACCCACCTTCTCGTTGCTGAACAAAACCTTGAAGCCGACGCGCCTCAAAATGGCGGCCGCCTGCGCGTCGATGAAGGAATAAATGTAGAGCACAAAATAGGGAACTTGATACCGAGGCACCCAATAGCCTAAATAATGCGATGTAGCAATCGTTTTGAAAGTTAAGGCTTACCCTGGTGTCTGAACTCTTTTCCCAGAACCCGGGCGATATCACGGAACCAGAAGGAGGGCTGGGCGGTGCAGAGGATGCGCTCACCGTCGGTTTCCGGGCGGTGCATGGCTTCGACGTGGGCCTAAAAAAATATCGTCCTCTGTCCTTCTCCCCGTCGCTCGCTTTCTCTCTCTCTCTCTCTCTCTCTCTCCCTCTCTCTCCTCGAAAAATTACCTTTGCAACGTCTCGAACATCAACAAGAGCCAAAGACAACGCAGGTACAGCCGGCATCTCGCCGTTCAAAAATCGCCGAATAACCTAAAAATTAAAAAGTAATTTGAGAAATAAGTTCTTATAACTTTTCTATGGTTCTAATTTATGAAACCACCAACTTACGGTAATACTAGCGCCCTGCTCGTCAATAAGTGGCGGCCCAACGACCAGAGTGGGATTGATGGTGGTCAGCTTGAACCTGGGAGTCGATTTTGAAAAGCTTTTTCCACTTTACTTACTTGTTTCCCTCCTTAATATTATCGACAAATTCCCAGGCGGCTTTTTCGGCGAGGGTCTTGCTCTTCGCGTAGAAATCGACGGCCGGGCTGTCGACGTTCGTCCAGCTCGTCTCGTCGTAGGTGAGGAGCGGGTCGTTACCTTCTGAAAATTGGAAACTTGCTTCGTGAAAGATAAGCGGGGTCTAAGCCTAAGCCTAAGCCTAGAGAAGTCTAAAGCTGGCTAAGCCTAAACGCACCATTTACAGCAGCACAACTCGAGGTGAGCACGACTTTTTTGACAGTCGGCTCGTTCTGGCAGGCCTAGAAAAAAGCATTGCGAGAGAGCGAGAGAGCGGGAGAGAGAGCGAGAGCGGGAGAGAGAGAGCGAGAGAGAGAAAGAGAAAGATAAAGAGAGAGAGAGAGAGGGGGGAGGGCGAGAGAAAAAGAGAGAAAAAAGATCAATAAAGGACTGACTTTTAGCACATTTAGAGTCCCAGAAATCGCTGTCTTGATGGTCTCCTCGGTAGCAACGATTGGGAATGGAGAAGCAACGTGGAGCACGTAGTCGCAACCCCGGACAGCTCTGAAATAGATGAGTCCTAGCGCATTCTAAGATTCAATTCTTTCTTAGAGAGTATCCACCATAAAAAAAACACAAACTCACTCTGGCCAAGAATTCTCGTCCATCAAATCGGCCTCAACGAGCTCGAGCTGCCCATCCTGGTCCAACTTCTTGATCGGGTCGACTTTTTTCGGGTTCTTCAGCGAGCGCACAGTGCCCCGAACCTATAAACACAATATTTTAAGGCTCGAAAAGGGCCAGGGAATACCGTATATCCCTCATTTAACAGCAGCTTGACGCAGTGGGACGCGATATAGCCGCTCGCGCCGGTGACGAGCACCACTGAAACGTGAAAATTGCGCTTTAGCTTTCGAAAAATAGGCCGTTTGGGTTAAAAATTTGCATATGGCTTACCGGATGCACGAGACATTCCCATTCCAGAGGAAATTTCCGGCGCGAATGTCCGGTTACTCAAATTGTCGACCGGAACCCCCTTTCCATGGAAATTATGCTTATGCTACTTGGAATTTCTGACCACGGATTGTGTTTTTGTTTGCATTTTAATCACCATTCTCTAATGGCCAAGAAACCGTAGCCGTTAAATGGTGCCCTAAAATTCTCGTGCAAAAATTTATTCGCGGTCAGAAATCGGTACTTTGCCGCACAACGCCCGGACCCTATATCTTTTCCCCTTCTTTCCCCTGTGCGGTCTGTCAACCATTGCCAAATTGGCCTATGGCGCTGTTTTCCCAGGCAATGGCGAGGGTTCGAGTTTTTTGGAAAATGTTTGCGAGCACCTGCCGAAACCTTTTTTGCTACCCCGGGACGGTTATGTTTTGCCATTTTAATCACCATTCTAATCCAACGAGACTTTAGTGTACCTTTAAATACAGAGAATTACAGAGCAGGCTAAGGTGCGCCGCTTGGGCTCATAAAGTTGCACAGAACTACCGCATATCGAGTTTTGGGCTTGGTATGCTAATTGCGAAATTTTTGTCTATTTGAAATTGGGAGGTTTTTGCGCATAAAAATCGCTTTAGGGTTTAGCAATTAACGGATAAAGCTTACCACTTGGATTGTTGTTGTTAGGCGCCATCGTGGGCCCAAAACCCCTGAAAATTTGCGTAAAAACGTAAGAAATACGGTTCTTAAAATTGAAAAATTAAGAAAGTTTGACTATTAGATTACGGCCCGTTTATCTATGTAAAAAAGATCTGTATTATCCAAACTAACTAATTGTAAATAAATCCTTTAAAGGGCTTTTAGCTATATAATAAAAATTACAATATGAAAGCAAACACAGTTTTAAGCAAAATTTCAAGCAAATAAACTTTATTAAAAAACGCCCAACAGCTGGACCGCGAGACGAGCGCTGTCGTCTTTTCAAGCGAACGACTCTGACCCCGGCTGCGGGCTGCTGGAGCAGGTTCTGCCCTATTCCAGAAACTCGGCTCTTCCTCCCCCCCTCAGGCGGCAACTTATCGATTCGGTGGATCGGAGACCGAGTGAGGGATGGACCGGATGTGGAACACTGGAAAGGACACTTTTTGGACCACAATCGAAATCAGGCGGAAGGGGTATTGAGCCTTTTTAGGAATTCAGCGTGATTGGATTGTGGCTGGGACGAGGTTGGGTTATGAAAGGTCATACGTGGCATTACTTTTTGCCTGACAAAAAAAACACCTGCTCGAGCGAGCCGGAAATAGGTAACAGCCTACGAAGGGCCGTCCGCATCATACGTTTTGCAACTGTCGGAACCAGAAAATAAGTCTCGGGCCCTGAAGTTGTAGGAGAGAAAATGCGAAATTTCCAGCATTGTAAGTAAATTTTTTAAGGAAGTCTGGGTTTTTTTAGCGGATTAAAATATCCTAAAGGGGTAATTGGCTTCAAAAACCGTTCAAAAATCTTACGGAGCGTCCGTTTTATGCGTTTTTCTCAAGAAGCTCGTCGACCCCGGAAACCAACGATCATCCCAATCGACAATGCACAAAATTGACAATTGAATGTGTAAATTATGTATTTCTACGTGTCGGAAAGATTTTATGAATTTAGAAAAATTAGAAAACCTTCGAAACTACTAAAGCTTTCGTAAAACAACTTGAAACCTGGAAGAGCTGCCAGACGATTTATTTTCCCACATTTTTCATCCTTTCGTCTCGTTAAGACACACACTTGGGATTCAATGCTTTAGACGCTCCGGTCTTGAAATTATTTTTAGATTTTTTAAATTTTGAAGTTTAAAAAATGTTAACTTTATCCCTAACGTTCATCAACTTTTGGTGCACCCATCATTCCCTCAAGTTTTGAGTGACAAGCGGCGCCTAGTACCCAAAACATGTTCATTCGTTTCCACTTTCAACATTTCCACCAGGATCAAGCAACGGGATCGAGCAGCAATCGGCTGCTCCCAAATTTGTTCGGATCGGCGCCGAACCCCCGAACGGGCAGGTGTATCCAGGAAGGGGATCCGCGCCCCGACGGGGGCCGAGGGCTGCCCGGTCAGGGCAGTGTTACTGATGAGCGTTTTTGCCCGCAACCCCCTGAAAAGGGGCCTTTTGGGCATGGTGCGACGCAATACCGGAGCCGAAAAATTCCAAACCGGTTCGGGGGCCTATAAAAGGGGTGGCCATGGGACTGGAGAAATCAGAGCTTCTCTCGACTCGTCCTGACAGCTCCCGGAAGTAAGTTGGCTTCAGTGGGGGGCTTTAATACTGGCTACCTTTCTTGAATTTTTGTAAGCCGAAGCTCCTAAGCTTAAGCTTAAGAGCCTAGCCTCGGCTACCTTAGAGTCTAGTCGTAAGCACCAGATCATATTCAGCTGCTGTATCTTTTGTAAACTAAAGTTAAAAGCAACCAAAAAGCAACAAAAATACCCGTTTTCACTATGTAATTTAGACCCTAGCGTAGCTGTCGACACCCAGTCGCAGGAAGGGGTCGATTTTCCGACGTCCCAGCCTTTAAAATCCTTTTTTCTCTTTGATTTCAACTGGTTGAATTGATTCCAACAGCCCGATAAGCCTTGTGAGGCTTAATTGATATATCGATAGGCATATTTGGCATCAAATAAATTTAATTCCCTTCAGAAATGTCGATCCTCGGTTGGGCCTCCTCTGTGGGCTCTGGCGTCGCCATCCTCACCTGCCTTCTCTACACCCCGTACCTCTGGGGACAGGTAATTTTTGGATACCTTCAAAAATATAGTACAACGTTTGGAAAAGCTCTGCCTACACAATCAAACTGAAACAATTAAATCTTCCTTCAGATCGAAGAGGTCCGCGGAACTGTTGCTCGCATGAGCGACCACTTCCAGGTCAAGGAGATGCAGATCGTCGAGCAGCTCAAGGTATCGAAAACCTGAAAAATCAGATTCTAAATTTTTTAGCTCGCCCGCAAGAACGTCGGCCGCACTCGTGTGGCCCGTGACGCTTGGGAGGACTGGCACCGTCGCAACGGTCACCAGCAGCAGAACAACGGATGGGGTGAGTTTATCTCTCACACACGTTTCTCTCCTTCTTTCTCTCTCTCTCTTTCTCTCTTTCCCTCTCTCTCGCTCGCTCTCTCTCGGGAAAACCTACGAGCTTATATTTTAATTTCAGGATGGGCCGGACCCGCTCAGGCTCCTCCTGCTCCTCCCAGCCCCGACCGCGGTTACGGAGGTGGCCAATGCCAGTGCGACTCCTACAACCGTTGTCCCGCTGGACCTCCCGGACCCCCAGGAACTCCCGGAGAGAACGGATACCCCGGAGCCCCTGGAGGCCGCGGAACCCCTGGCGCCCCTGGAGTCGTTCCCGAGGAGCACCGTCACGTTTCCGTAAGTTTTGAGACTCACTCTCCCCCTCTCTCTCTCTCCCTCTCTCTCTCTCTCTCCCTCTACCTCGAACTTAATCTCGCAATTTTCAGGAGGGCTGCAAGCGTTGCCCGCCCGGACCGGCCGGAGAGCCCGGAGCCCCTGGATTCCCTGGACCTCGTGGAGACAACGGAGAGCCTGGCCGCGACGGAGAATCCTCATCTGGAGGCCCCGGAGCCCCCGGAGCCCCTGGCGAGGATGGACACCCCGGAGAGGATGGAGCCCCTGGAGCCCCTGGAAACAATGGAGCCCCCGGAAGCCGTGGAGTCCCCGGACCTCAGGGACCCGCCGGAGGACCTGGACGTGCTGGAGAGCGCGTAAGTTTTTGGTGTTCTTTCATCTTAACTCTTGAAAACGGTTTTTCAGGGACCTGCCGGAGACAACGGTGCCCCTGGAGCCCCTGGCCAGCCCGGACAGAACGGAGGAGCTGGACGCCCTGGAGGCCCAGGAGCCCCTGGAGCTCGTGGACACGACGGAAACCCGGGATCTCCTGGAGCCCAGGGCCGCGACGCCAACTACTGCCCTTGCCCCAGGCGTTACGCCCACAAGGCCTAAGCTCTCCTCCACGAAATGGAGTGATAAACATTCAAGCATCAGCACTGTGGGCATTAATTAACACGTCATTTTTTCACACTATGCAAATAGCAAACATCATTGAACTTGAAATACAGGGTGGCGATTAATTACCTGCGCGAGAGAAAACGCTTGCTCCGAATTTTCCTTAAAGCAATCTCTGATCCACCTGCATTTTATGATATCACAAGCCATCTAATACTTATTGCACAGAAAAAATTTGGGTCAGTGGCCCTAAACTTTTTTCCAGCCCGAAAAGCATTTTTATTAGGCCTTAGCCCTACCAAATAACATAAATTCTACGAACAATTTCCGCCTGGAGCTGAATCGGCCAGAATGAGACACCTCAAAAATAAAAAGATTTTTCGGGAAGGTGCAATTTCGTTGATGTAGCCCTCTTCTTATTGGTTTGATAGGACGCATTGTTAAATTGAGGCCGGTTCTGAAGAATTTTGGGAAAGTTCTGGGCCAAAAATGATGCCATCAATTCAGCCCGCGGCGCGCCTCAAAAATCGTCAGCAATTTCTAGCATTTTTGGATTCTAGTTTCCTGATAAAGCCATATGTACCCAAGAACTTTTGACATATGGTTGTTGTAAGGATTGTCCATATTTTCGCATATCGTACCAATAGATTCACGCGAAATACCGTAAGGACGCGCGGTTTTTATTTCCATTTGACCGATGTCGTTCTCGATACTGGATCTTTTTTTTTATCTTTTGACTAGGTTCGGTTTTCGAACGCTTACCACGTTTGAAAAGAAGCGTGCAACATATCTGAACCGTTTTGGAAAATATTAGCTACCTCCCATGGCTACAGTAGGCTTCAAAAGTGTGACCATGCGATCAGGATGCGCGTTGTGAAGCCGGAATTTATGTTTCTTAGCTCGTAGTTTTTCGTGATTGTTTAACCCGGTTAAAATTTGGATAGGATGCAACTAAACAACCACCAATATGGTAAAACCACTCTATCAAAGAAAATTTAAAGCCTGATTTTGGGGAAAAAGCGACGCGCAGGTAATTAATCGCCACCCTGTATATAAGTGATGATTCTAAAAATGTGCTGTGGCGTCAATAGCTGCAGAATCACATTATTCACTATCTTTTCATTAAAATTTCCTTCCCGACTGTCCCACTAATAAACTAGTCACCCTTTCCTGGAGATTCTGAATCATGTAGTCAAAATAATGGCTTCAACGGGCCGGGCGTTAAAATGGGAAGCCAGGAATTCAGAGGCATTCTCAAATTGCTTCGGGAAAATGGCGCAACCGGCGTCCTACGAGCTACAGGGCCTGCCGGCTAAGGAAGCTCTACCGTATCCGCAGGCTCCCGTTGCCTATCCTCAGCTTCAGCCGGAGCAAATTCCGGCTTATCCGGCAGCCCAACAACCGGCTCAGTACGCAAATCAGGCGGTGAATCCGGGAGGTAAACTCGATTCGGGTTGACTTCGTTTTGAGTAGCTTTCGAACTTATCCCCAAGATTTCAGGATACAGTATTTGTTTAAAAAACGTAATATAAACGTATTTAGTCATCTACGATTAGGTTCTATAGATCATTTACCGTATCCGGTTCCTACTACGGCTTCGGCGCATTATGCAAATCAGGTGCAAAATTCCGGAGGTCTGTATCACCTGAGCAAGCGAAAGTAGTTAAAATTCAGATGCCACTGTGCAATACGCGTATCCGGCTAAGGATTCCGCTCATAATCCGCCACTTCCGATGGACATGTCCTATCAGCAGTATCAGGCTTCACAACCTTATGCTCCAGGTTAACCTCAAAGTCAAGCACTTCTAACATAAGGTGCTTGACTTTGAGGTTAACTACACTTTAATTTTTGCAGCTGAGCTATACGCAGATGAGGCTCAATACTGCTCGCCCAGATACCTGCCGGAACCGCGCAATACGGTACCATACGTGAAGCCACGACCTCGTCGCTCCGGTTGCGTTCAGCTGTTGATGGTTTGGTATTTTAGATTTAGCACTTTCAAAATATCTCGTACATGCGCTCTCTCTTTCCCTCGCTTTCTCTCACTCTCTCTCATGATCTGTCGCTCTCTTCTTTCTCATTACCTGATGCAAATCAATTTTAGTTCCTCGCCCTGGCAGCGTACATGCTTTCCGGATTCGCCGACTGCTTCGTCGGCTGGATGGCTGCCAACGATTCGCCAGCCGCAAAGGTATTTCGCGGCTATCGCGATGATAAATCGAAGGCAGGACAACACCCCTACTGAAATGGAATTATATCGCGGCCACTTTACATATCCATTATATCTTTTTAGATGACCGCCGAGCTGTCAATAGTTCTGTGGATCATTTCGTTCATCGGGCTCGGACAGCGACAAGTGATCGCGATTTTTCCGTACATGGCTTGTCAGGTATGGACAAACCGTAGCCTAAGCCTAAGTAAGCCCACGACTAAGCTTAAACCTAGACCTAAACCTAAGCCTAATATTGAACCAAATTCGAAAACTGAGCGAAGGCTGGTAGTACATTCAAATTTACCATTTTTGAGCTCGAACTCCTTACATTCGGCCCAGAAGCACGCAAATCCTAAAGTTTCAGTTTGTACGCCTCTGGCTACTGGTCCACCTCATCGAAAAGGAGGGAAAACCGGCTATAGAACCCATGGTGATCTACAGCATCGGCTCGGCCCTGACGGCTTGCGCCTGGATGTTCGCCTGTGATTGGAAAAAGCCACGCCACTGATTGGAGCATACTAAAATTGACAACGGCCCAAACGATAATAAAGCTCGAGCTGGCAAAAAAAATAAAATGTAAGTAAAAATCTAAATGCATAAGATTACAAAACATTTTGACCCATCCGTCCTAATACACAAACCATTATCTCATAAAAACCGATTCAACATGATTAAAAACGTTTCAACTTTTCAAAATCAAATTTCACAATTTTCATCATTCAAAATTAACGTCACGCATTAATTGTTTAATTACAAGGAACCCTCTATTTCCGCTTGCATTCATCATTCTCAGTTGACTAACTTGCCACAACATTCCGTCCCGCGAAGGGGCCCCCCGTTTGAAAGTGAGAATCAAAAATTCGCGGGCATTTTCTGATTGCTTTCACGAAATATGGCCCAACCGACTGATTATGAGCTACGCGAGTTTCCAATGAACGGGCCACCATCCTATTCCCATGTTCCACATGCTCCAGGGGTTCTCCAGCTTCGACTCGGTCAAAATCCCAGAAACCTTGCATGTCATACGATGTCTTCGGTAATGGAGAAACAACCACATCTCGTAGGGCCACAGGCTCCTGATGCCTCGGATCTATCTGAGCGTGAGCTGTGTCCGACCCACCCGCCGGCCCAAACTGAGACTCCGCACGCAAATCAAGCTCCGAACTTGGGAGGTAAAGCTCGAATAGTAGAAAGTAACTAAAAATTCAGAGGCCACTGTTCCGAATCCGTATCCGCCAACGGACGCTCCGTATAACCTATCACTTCCGACGGCGCTGCCCTATGAACCATACGGGTACCAAGACACCCAAGCTGCCCAAGGCTACGCTCAAGCCCCAGGTACGACACATCGTCAACCCGTGGAAAATAGCAAAATCTTTGCTTCTAGACGCGGGGTTCTATGCAAATGAGGATCAATACTGTTCTGAGGGATATTTACAGCAGGCTGAACCCGAATGTTGTCCAGTTTTTAATGGTTTTTACTAAATTTCATTACAGTTCAGCGTAATACCATACCGTATGTGCCTCCGAAAGGCCACCACGGTTGTGCACGCGCATTGATGGTTTGTGTCTGGAGTTGCTTGTCTCTCTCTCATTCACTCTCTCGCACGCTCTCACTATCTCACCCTCTCTCTCTCTCTCTCTCTCTCTCTCTCTCTCTCTCTCTCTCTCTCTCTCTCTCTCAGCCCAAATTTTTTAGTTCCTGGCACTAACCGCCTATATGGTGGCCGGGCTAGTGGATTGTTTCCTCGGCTGGTCTTCGTCTTCGCGGGCTGTGCAGTCGGAGTATGAATATGTAAAGGTCATGTTGATGGTCAGTTTCGCCTCACCCCAAGACGAAAATTGCCAGGCAAACGTTAATTTGATCTCGATATCGGTTGCATGACCGTCGACCTGGCACACCAAAATACCGTATTTCGTCTAGTATCACCCCCAGGGGGTTTATTTTTTCAATCACCTCACTCAGGGTTGTACTATTAGAGGCATGGCATTTTTTGTCATTTTGAGCAATCACAACGATTTCTGGCGGTTCAGACTGCTCCCAACAACATAGCAACGCAGTATGAAGCTCAAGAAATGTTTTGACATTTTTTTTGACGTCATAAAGACAATTTCGATAAAATTTTGAAGGGCTTTATTGGAGGAAAGACCGCAGCGGCAAAGATTATTCAGCTGCCGACCGGCCTGTCTATCATGCTGTGGATCATCTCATTGATCGGGTTGTGCCGGAAGCAAGTCATCGTCATCTGCCCGTATATGGTCTGTCAGGTGAGTGGGTATTTTTAAGCTGTGACTATTGGTGAGTATCGCAGTGTTAGCATGGAATGTGCTTACGAGGCACTAAGTCTTTTGTAAGAAGAGATTTACATAGCTTGTTATTGTTTAAAAATAAATCTATAGTTCCTGCGGCTCCTCCTCATCACGCTTCCGGCCGCCATCGCCATCTCCAAAGATGAAAAGCCACAAGCATTACCCCCATATCCCCTGTATTCCCTCGCCTCCACACTGACGGCTTGTGCTTGGATGTTTTGCTGCGATTGGAAAAAGTCGCACATCTTGATTTGAAAATTGGTTTTGTGAAATGTTGATAGTAAACTTGTTTCAGCATATCAAACATTCCACTTTTTTCGTAGCTTGGATCGTAAATAAATGAAAACCTCCCGGTGACTTGTGAATTTCTTTTAACATTGTAGCTTGCCGTGAGTTAAAAAAATCGACTGTTGAACATAATAAATAATTATTCTTGTTCTTTAATTTATTGCGAGCGGCTGTGGTTACACACTCAGGGCGCTCGTCACCTCCAGCTTCTGAATCACCAGCCACAACATTTCGTCAAGCGGCCCCCGAAATTGAGAATCGGGGCTTCAGTGGCCTTCCTTGATTGTCTTCACCAAAAATGTCTCAACCAACGGGCTATGAGCTACGCGAGTTTCCTGTGACCGGTCCGCCACCGTATCCGCATCCACCACCGGCGCTAGGCGGCTATCACCAGCCCCAACCTGGACAAAATCCGGGGTATCCAGCCCATCAACACTCGACTCCATATGCAAATCCCGCGCAAAATACTGGAGGTAAGCTTTTTCGGCTTCAATGCCATCTGAAAGTTTTTTAAGTAACCTTGGTGTTTTCTCTCTCTGTGTCCCGCTCTCTTGCTTTCTCTCTGTGTCTCGCTCTCTTGCTTTCTCTCTCTCTCTCGCTCTCTCCATTTTTTCGTATATTGATGCTAATTTTACAATTTGATCGAATATCGTGCTTCGGAATTTCCATTCTACCAGCCTATCTATCCAGCCGGAAATCACAATAAAAACGAGCTGCGCCTTCGCATCGATCCGATGCCTGCCGGGCCGTCCTATAACCTCTATGGCCCAAACCCAGACAATTCACCCGCGCAACCCCCTGGTAGGCTGCAAAAACCTCTAGAGACCAAAACTATAAACCTGAATTTGAGCCGTCGCCTACGAAAACCCAGCCGAAGAAGATGAAGAAGAGGATTCGGGTTTTGAGGCTGGCTGTAAGACTATTTTTCTCGCATTTTAAAGACTCGAAATCCCAAAAATCAACTTCTTCTCGACTAGGTATCGACAGCTACGCGACACTACAAAGTACAGTGATCGGTCCCTGAGCGTTTACTTTGGAGCGTCTTGTAGTTGTCGGGACCTGGTCAACTCTAGGGGGTCGATTTTCGCAACCCGTAGGCACTTTATAACAGAATTTTTCCAGACGCGCACGCCATGTCTCAACTGGAAGTAATGCCACGGCTCCGGACCTGCCCTCGTTATTTGCTGGTATGTAAAGAGGATCCTGGCGAATTTCAGGCAATTTCCTTAGCTTTCTCTGCGAGCCTGCCCAGAAAAGATGCCACTTTTAGTGGACGGCCCTCATTGCCTACGGCATCTTCGGCTTCATCGACGTCTTCGTGGGGTACTTCGCGGCTGACGAGCAGGTGAAAAACCTGATAACCGCTCGTTCCGGTTCCGGCAAGCACAAAGAGTGGGCCGCAAAGTACGATCGTCTCTCCCAAACGGTAAGACGAGAATACTCTTAAAGGGACCGGCAGGGCATCTGTCTCGTCTTGCTAACTCTGGATCCCTATGGATTCCGGCTTGGCACTCTAAGAGACAGTAAAAAGCTCCAGGTCCCCGTCGTCCTCTCAATCGGCCTCTGGCTCATGTCCCTATGTGGGTTGTCGCGCAGACAGGTCGCCGTGCTGTACCCGTACATGGGCGCTCAGGTGAGCAAGAATTAATTAATCCGAAGTTTTTGTGTCTTATCTTATTAAATGCGATATTTTGAGTTAAGCATGAGCTCCATTTTTTTAGATGCTACGTATCCTTGTGATACTGAATCCCCCTGCGGGTGCAGCTTGGGCAGAGCATTGTGGACCTCCCGCTCTCCTCAGCGCCGTTGCCACGATCATTTCATGCTCGTGGCTGCTCTGCTCTGACTGGAAACTGCTGAATAAGAACATCAAAATAACATAAATATTTTGTTAAGTCTGATGAATTGTGTATGAACTATCCTATTAATTTTGCTTTTGTCACGGTGTTTACCCTTGATTTTTTAATAAAGTGTTAATTGTTAAAATCTTGGGAAATGACCGCTTTTAATCTCGTAGTAACACTAAAGGAAAAAACCTAAATTGACATAGATGAATTTTAGCGATTTTCTAAGGTTTTAGTGATATATCTTACTTTGGGTAGTTTTGGCGCGGTAATTTTTGAACTTTTAAGAAAACCTTTTTAAGGAAGACTGCATATTTCCTATCATTCTGGGCCCGGCCTTATCACTCCCCCCAAAATCAATATTTTGAGGCGGACAGCCTGGAGCTGTTGCTGTCAAAAATTTTATGGTCAGTCGAACGGCCGGAACTGACTATTTGAGGAGATTTTTTGAAGACACTTTTCATCCGCTATACTTGCTGAAAAGTTAAAAACCATCAGCTTGACCAGATGCTAATTTAACTGCCGAAACAACCGATTTTGCGGTTTAGACCTTCGCCAGCTAACTTGTCACATTTTATTTCACAACTTTTGTTATCTTTCATAATCTGTTCTAGAGCATTTTCCCGATCCGGAAAAATTTTTAACTTGGGAATTCGAGATGGTACAGGCTGGCGTGTTTTTGCTCGGTGATAAGCAGCCAAGATGGTACACGTGCTGTAGATGTCTGCACATTAAGGTGGGCTTTCCACATTATAGCTTACAAGACTTACTAGTTAGACTACAGAGCAACATCAATAAAATATCAACTTTCTAGTTCGCCCTATTCCTCGTCATTCTCCTCGTCACAGCCCTAGAAGCCCTAGAAGCCGCATTGTACATCTTCAGCGAGAGATTCGTGTTCGACTCGTATGGACAAGCGCTTTATGATGTGGGTTTGCTGTGGATTTCAGAATTTTGAGTTGCTCTAAGGTTGGAAAAACATAAGTTTTCTAGGCCTTTGAATACCTCGTGCTCGTGACGCTGATTTACGCCTGGATCAAGGAGAAGGCCATTTTCCTGGCTCCTTACATTGCACAAATGGTAGGTTCGAAAGCGAGCGAGAGAGCGAGTGTGAGAGAGAGAGGAGGAAAAGAGCGAGTGCGAGAGTGAGGAAGTGAGAGAGTGAGAGAGTCAGGAAGTGAGAGAGTGAGAGAGCGTGAGAGGGCAGGGACGGACGAACGAAAATACAACTTTGTATTTCCCCTTATCTAGATGATCATCACAATCGCCCTGGCGATGATGGCATTCCAGTGGATGTTCGTATTCTTCTTCCCTTTCAGCCGTCAAGCCGAGCAGTATATCCAGGACACCACCATGGATCGCCTTTCCAGGATGGGAGTTTGTAGGTCTTCTGAGCTTTATAGTAAAAGACCACAAAAGGCGCGAAGCGGTTTTTCAACGCTGCTTCTAACCCGTTCTTTAGTCTTCATCTGCTCCCTAGTGGCCGTCATGATGTTGATGATCAGCGTCTGGTTCTTACATGTGAGTTTTTAGCCTGGATTTAATGGTGTCAATTCCATAGGTCGGCTGCCTGTCATACGTCTACTTCGAGAACCAGGAGCGCAAGCGAAAAACGGCCGAGTCGGCCAGGGCCCAGGAGGCCGCCCAGGTGCTTTTAAAGTTTAGCTTAATTTCGTATTTCTAGGGGCAGACGGTGCGTGTACTTGTTGACCAGGATCAGCATGCTGCGAATAAGCCGGAGGGGGTAAGGAAGTTATGAACAGGGTTTGGCTTAGGTACAGGCTTAGGCTTAGGCTTAGGCTTGACCTTAGCGAACTTAGAGAAAACCGTTCATAATGACCCGAAAAAAATTTTTAAGAGCGCCCCATCGACCACGATCCAAACCACTGGCAACTTTGCAAACCCGAACTTCACGATCGCTTCTGACGACGAAGAAGATGACCTCTTCCGCCAAACAAAATCGAAGAAAAACCCACCAATTGCTTAATTTGTTTTTTTAACTATTAAACAAGCTATTGGATAAAGAAAAAAATCGCCAGATTCCATGGAAAGACCCTTGATTCCGAATCGAACCTAGAATTTCCAATACCTAAAGTCTGGTATAGTTTTAATTTAGTTTAGTTTAAATGGGATCTTAGCAATGTAGAAAGGCAAGGCCGATAACTTTTAGTGAGCAAAACTCATGTAAATTTGCATAAAAATCCATCGTCAATGAACGAGGAAGACCATGAACGCCCTGATTCATCAGAAGACGTCAACAAATATTTTTCGATTGACCAGTCACTGCCCGGTTTGCTAGTCGCCAAAATTCTTGATTTTTCGCTGCCCGGTCAATTTGGGGTTTTTATTTATTTTTGGTCCGACTACCCCGGAATACCAAGCGGTCAGGTTTCGATATTCGGGCGTCGGAATTGCGATTCGATTATGCTATTGCTATGCATTTTGGCGGGCCCCTGACTTTGAGATTTTTTTATAAGGTTTTGGTTCTGTGGTGTCGTTTGTAGGCGACTTTTCGGGGATTTTGTGGCTAAAATTGTTGGATGGTGTCTTGGTGGCCGACAATAAATTATAGCCGATTAGTCATCAGCCTTCTTGGTCACGTTGTTTATTATTCTGCTTCGTCACCTCTGGAGGGCGGATAGGCACTATTCCCAAAATCTAGAAAGCGACGCGTTGGCGGAAGGGGATATTTTAAGGTTGGAGCTACTGGCTTTAGTTTAATTCTGAGTTTCTTGTTAGTGCTCCTGCTCTTGCTCAAATTCTCTCTCACACTCCTTCTCAATCTCTCCGTCTCTGGCGCTCGCGCTCTGGCTCAAACTCTCTCGCTCTTGCTCGCTCTCTCTCTCTCTCCCTCTATCTCTCCCCAGAAATCCTCTTGTCCCCACCCCTTTAAAACCCCGGGACCACAGAACGAGAGCGAAACCTCATTACCAACCACATAACTGCACGCCGTCTTTATAAATACAAATGCAATTAGGCGCCCTCCGGAATGGCCGCCCACCCTACCACCTGCGGCCCATGTCAACTTTTTGATCGTGTTGCTCAGCGCCCGAAATAATAGCGTTTTTTTCCGGGTGGGGCCAGGTGCAAGCGGGAAGAAAAGTGAACCGGGCTGCGGGTTTTGGGACTTTTCACACATCATTTTCGAGCCGCGGAAGTGGTGATTTTCAATATTTTTTGCAATTTTCGCCCTGGTGGATGTTTGTAGATGCATAAAGGAATTTCCGCGAATTCGCCGGTTTAAAGGAACTGGGAAGTCAAAAAGTTTAACCTCAAGCTTTTGGCATAGCCGATAGCGTGCACTGGGCTGTGATTTGACGGTAATCGCTTATTTAAATCTGGTCGAAATCTCGCTACCGGCCCGCTTCGCAGTTTTTCGTCGTCATATTTCAGTCATTTTTCGATACAGGTTTGGCCGTTTTCCATTTTACGGTCCATTCAACGAGTTCTTTTCTGCTTATGGTTCTTTTTCTTAAATTTTCGTCCCATTAAGCCCGCAAAAGCAAGCCCTATATTTCTCTTTTCCTCAATTATAACGAGTCAGATCAATTTAGACAAGTTTGCTTAATTCTCGCGACACAAGTACGCGTCATTTCTATAGACACATATCCTGTGGCGAACCGGAAGCCGCCTTCCTGATGAACTTGCTTTAGCTTAATTTTTTAACACAGGCAGACCCCCAAGAATGACAAATTTCCGCTGTTTCCCTGGAAGAACAGAAAGTTTCAATGTTTTCTCACTTCCACTCCCTTATCAACCCCACCGACCAGAAGACCGCCCTAATTTTTATCCGGCCCACCCAAACCTCTTTTCTTTTCCGGCGGCTGATCGTTGGATTGTTATTCTACTGATTCACCACCCGGGCTACGTCAGGCTACGCCGCTTTTTTCCGGGCAATTAACCCTTCCGCCCCCGGACGCGATAATGCCCTGTTTTTGATATTGTTTGTTTTGTGTTCGGGAGTCAAATAGCGCCTAGAATACAGTAGCCTTTTCATCGTTGGCATAATGCCAATGCTTTAATTCCTGCTTTTTTCATTTCGATTTTTAATAACCTTTTCTGCTTTAAAATACCACTTAAAACCCACGTTTTAAAGGGTTCCAAAGGCGAAAAAATCGACCCCACCTTTTACTAGGTATCGACAGTCACGTGCCTCGAATTCCATTTAACGCATTTTTTTGTTAAACCTTACGCGTTTTCTGAAGCCCTATATCTTTTTCGAATTGACCTTCTCTGCACGTTTAATTTGCGAATTCCAGAACACCCCAAAAACCAACAATATGAATTGGAAGATATGGTTGGATCCCAGGATTTTCCTAATTCTACTATTCTGCTTATTCGCCGGAGCTACCGGAAATTCCGATGCCGAGGAAAAGCCGACTCGATTTCAGGTATGTCTAAAATTGAAAAACTTCAGCTGTTAAAGTTTGTATCGCCGATAACGATAAAGTACAAATTAATTCAAAATTTCAAGATTGTGACTCTACACTACGATGAAGTCAAAGAGCCTCTCATAATCGTCATCTGGATCGTTATGGCCGCGTCGATGAAAATCCTGTTCAACCACGCCCGTTTCCTCTCAAAGTACATCCCGGAAAGCGCGCTTCTGATCCTCGTCGGGCTGGCGATGGGAGGGATTTTGAAGGTAAGGCGAAGATGCAAATTAGACATGTTGCGGATACGTTGTAAAAATGAAGGCAATTTGCCTTATTTAATTTATTATATTATATTATAATTTTCTCATAAAAAATCTGGTCCCTAGATCTGCCTTAAAATTTTCAACAAAACTTTAGACCCTCGGGGAAAAGTTCATCGAGCACCCAACGAAAGAGTTGAGTTGCCAAGCTTCGGCGCCATTTTTTTTAATTTTATTCATATTTATTATGCTTTAAGCCTCTCGAATTACAGCAATCCTTTAGGCTCTGCACGCCGCGTTCACCGTCTACACCCTCGAGAGCAAGACGTTCTTCCTATTCCTGCTGCCACCGATTATTTTCGACGCCGGCTATTTTATGCCGAATCGGGCGCTGTTCGAGAATTCGGGCTCGGTTTTGCTGTTCTCCGTCGTTGGGACTCTGTTCAACACGTTCATGATTGGTGGGTTATTTCTTAACTTAAGTTTTCAACTGTTTTTGAGAGCGTTTTTTAAACTTAATCGGCATATTTAAAAGTTTAGCCTAAAATTTCAGTTCAATTAATGCACTTTATTCTTTACGGGAAAAGGCACTTCATTTTAAAACTGAAAAAAATCGCGGAACTAATAAAGTTCAAGCGTTTTTTTTTCAAAATTCGAAATCAAAACCAAGAACATTTAAATAATCAATTTCGGAAAAAAACAAAACCTGAAGTGCATTTTTCAACACCTATCCCAAATAACCCCTTTATTTCCATCGTAAATACAGTATCGGATCACCCAAAAAAAAAGGTAGAGGCAATTGAAATACGCGATTTCCGTCTGAAAATGTGAACAATCATCAGTTTGGATATTATGGGTGGGTGTGTGCGGGGGCCCGGCGAGAGATCCTGAGAACAGAGAAACTTACAAAAATATAAAAAAAATCATAAGGCGAGGCGGGAAACAATTTGAGTCATATAATCGGAATTGACAAGTGAGAGCCGCTCGTTTCGAGATGAGAGTGAAATTGTTCGATACCCAAAACACGGAAAGGCACCACAATAAAGCCCATAGATTATCGAGTGAGGCAAAAAATGACATTTTTTTAATTTACTTCCACATTTTGCGAGGCCGGCGTCTCGACGGTGGTCGTGTCCATCTCCTCGTCCTTCCCGTTCAGCACCTCGGCGGCTTTTACGACTTCCGGGGTGGCGCGATTCTAGAATTTGCGAATTAATATTGAAGATTCCTCAAATATCCCTGCTAGCCGCCTCACTCACCTCCTCGTTCTCCTTCTTGTCGTCCTCCTCCGACTTGAGCATCGACGCGAGCAGACTGTTCTTGGCCTCCTCTTCTGCAAACAATTGGCATCCACCAGAAAAATTTGACAAACCTTTCTTCGCAGCCGCGGCAGCCATCTCCTCCTCCTTCTTCTTGTAGGCCTCGTACTCCTCGACCAGTTTCACCTCCCATTTGGCAATCAGCTCCTGCTTTTTCGCGTCGTCAAGCACCGGTTTTTCGGCTTCAACCTAGAAATCGGTTATCAAGGAGTCAGGCTCTATTTTTACCTTTTCCAATTGCTGTTGGAAAGCCTTGCGCTTCTCCTCGATATCACGCATCTTGGCGGCAAACGTTTCGTCCATTTGGCGTAGCTCGTCGTTGAGCTTGTCCTGATGGCCGGAGAGGGATTGACCCTAAATAATATTCAGTAATTTAGAACTATCATAATCCTTATTGAACGGTGATCAAAACCAGGTTCCGTAAAATTTTACTAACCTGCTTGCGCAACATGTCCACCCTGGCCTGCGCGACAATCGTGCGCATGTCCTGGGCGCTTTGCGGCCCGAACAGCTCGGCCATCATGTTCTGGTTCCGTTGATATCTACGAGCGGCTATGTAAAATTCAGATTTAAGCTTTATTACCTCGCGTAATGAGCTCGGCGAATGTTCATCTCGCTGCTCTGGTCATCTTCATCAACCGCGTGAATGACGACGCCGCTCATGTCCATGTTGCGGCTGCGAGACATTTGGTGCGCGTGGAGCTAAAAAAGGTTGTCGTCTATCAATTTCAAACGAACCTTCTCGATCGGCTTCATATGCCCGGAGGTCATTCCTGGCATGGGCATCGGCGGTGCCTGCTGCATGTGGTGCTGCTGCTGGGCGGCGGCGCGGTCGGCTTGCTGCTGGGCTTGTTGGGCTTGCTGCTGTTGCTGCTGGCGCGCCTTGTTCTGCTGGATGTAGGACTGGTAGGCGGGCGACTGTTGGAAGCTCTTCATGGCTTTGTCGTATTCCACCTAAAAAGCGGATGTTGATTCACTCGATCAGGAGGTAAAAATCGGGGCTTCCAGAAAAACAGTCCCAGCTGCACCCCTGGGTTCGAAAGTGAAAAGACGGCCCGGCTAAAGCAGAGAGGTTGAAGAAGGTTACAAAACCGACACAACCCCAACCCCCCACCAAAACAGCCCCAAACCCACCCCCAAACCCCCACCCCCCACCCACCCCCCAAACCCCCCCAAAAACAACCCAAACCCAAAAAGGAAAAAAAGGGGAAAAAGAAAGAAAAAAAAAAACAAAGGGAAGGGGGGGATAAAAAAAAGAAAAATGAGAGGGGAGGGAGGAGAGGGGGGGGGAGGGGGGAGGGAAAAAAAAAAAAAAAAAAAACACCAAGGAAAAAGGGGGAAGGGGGGGGGGGGGGGGGGGGGGGGGGGGGGGGGGGGGGGGGGGGGGGGGGGGGGGGGGGGGGGGGGGGGGGGGGGGGGGGGGGGCGGCGCTAAAACCCTAAATAGGATAGGGAGGTGTCAGGGCAGTCGGCTGAATGGATGGGCACGTTAGTGGGATCAATAGGGGGTCCGGGGCGGAATATATTCGCCATCTCGGCTCGCCTCGGCCACTGCCCCCAGGATGGGCACTGGCGCTGGCCGGCGACACGCGCCGTGATTCATGCTGCCCGGTGGCCGAAACACATGAGCTCCATGCCACCCGCTAGGGGTCTTTTGAGACGTTGGAATGGCCCGTGTGAAGGGGTTGAATTGGAGGTCGTGACTAAGGAAGCGACTTGTAAAGACTAAGGGGAATTTGGCGATTTCCAAAAAAGTGGTGTTGGAAAAGGAAAAGCGCTAAAACAATGAAAAGCCTAAAAGGCCTTCATCTGGTGAGGAGGAAGGGGCTTTGGAACAGCATGTATCTTTACTGGGACGCTGTCTCTACTTGTGAGAAGCCTAGGGCTAAAAATTTTTGGCGAATTCTGTCTAAAGTAGAGCTCAAGAAAACATTCTAATGGAAATTAGAACGTTCCAACGATGCCTAAAGCCCGTTTTAACAGAAATTACAAGGTATCCATAAATCGCTTAACGACGTGACAGCTCTTTGAAGCCTAGTCTAGTAGTCAAAGCTATTCTTCTAGTAAATCGCAGATGGTTTCGGCCTGAAAATCTAAATTTTGAGTAAGGCCAATGACTTGAATATGTGAGATTTGAAATGTGTCGGGGCATCGGCGAAAAACATTAGGAAGAACCGATTGAGGGGGTAGCGCGGTGGTGGTGCCCGGCGCGGGCGGAGCCCATGCTCGGCCCGCCCGAGTGGTCGTTATTGGACCCCGAGCACCCAGCGCTCCGAAATGGGGTGGATGGGTTATTATTCGATTCGGTGACATCGAATCTTCATTCGTCTACTCTACTCTTCAACTAGCTACTGCTTTGCGATTTTACTACATTTTTAATGAAGCCTCTAGTGATGCTTAACTTCAAATACCCGCACTCACTACCACTCTCCATTAAAAATCTAAATTCTAATTAAAATTTATCTAATCCTATCAGAGAAATTTTGACAAACTCGCAAAAAAAGGTTATAATGACAAATTGGAGGAGAAATGAATCTCTTTTTCCATAGCGACACCTCATATTTTGACACCTTGGGAGCTTCATAATCGATTCAGGGAAAATGTCCCGCCCTCCTCCCCCCGAAGAAAAATATGAACACCACTATGAACTAAAAAAATATACTTACGATCCTTCGAAAAACAGCAAAATTTCTAACAAAATTTATCTTCTCAAATTACGCGCTGGGGAAATCTCTAGAAAAGATATTAAAACTGAAATTTCAATGGTACTCGTTAAATCGAGAATTTTTCTCGGACTGTAACCAAAACTAAAAAGCACCATACGAAAAAATAATTGAAAAATTAAGAATAGGTAGCTAAAAATCCCATCCACAGTGGCTTGAGCGACTTATGATTGGTCGCTATGGAAATGCGGGGCCGGATAGATAATCCCGGGGATCCTGGCCTAAATCGGTCTACCCCAGCTGCTCTTCCCAAAAGGCTAAGAAAACAGAAGAAGCCGTATATCTAGCCATTTTTTTTTTAAATATCCCACCTTCTCTGCTTCGTATTCAGCCTGGAAGACGGACTTCTCCTTTTCCGGACACTCGCGCCACAATTGTCCTATCACTTTTGACATTTCCCAGAGTTGCGCTTCCGGATTATCGGCTCGAACCTAAAAAAATTCCAGAAGCTGATAACTAAAAATGCAAACCCACCGTTGGCCACATTTTTCTAGAAAACCTCATGTAGGGGACGAGGGGGCGCTCGGGGCCTTTCGGGGGTTTAAGATCCTGAAAAAGTCGATCAATTTTGTGAAAATGTAAAGACCTTTACCCCATTGGCTCCTCCGCGCGATGGTGTCGACGGGCCATTCATTTTGAACGGGGTTTTCAAGGATGAGCCGGGATCTGAAAATAGAATTATATTAATTTTGTTTGGAAAGAACATCTCTGCGGAAATAGAAAGCGCAAAACAGGGCCAGGATGTAGAAAACAAATCCACACTCACGAAAATCCATGGAAACGCCCGGGCTAATTTTTGTGCAAAGCGCCATGTGCGTGTTTGCGCACAAATCAATAGAGGGCCGCAAGCAGGGCGGTGGTTTCGGATGATGCTCAGCCAGCTGATCGTAATAGAAAGTGAAAATGGAGGATTGATGGGATTCTCGAAGATTTGTCCAGTCTAGAACATAAAAATAGGAATATTCCAGGTTTAATTTCACTAAATCCTCATTGAAAGATGGCACGCAACGTAAAAACAGATTAATTTACGGCGCCGGATTTGCAAAATAAAACAAACAAGGAGTCAGTCAAGCCTGGTTTAGGTGCTTTAAAAGATTTAGCTACTTAAATTGATTAAAACCAGGGGTTTCAGGTTTAATGTCAATACAATCCCCATGAAAGGCTCTAGAATATCACACCAGATGAACTTTTGGGTTTTTAGCATTGCCTTGGCAAAATCAAACGGTCAAAAAGACATAGGAGACCTAAGATAGACGCATAATATAGATGTTAAAATATTAGCGCCGTTTTAGCGTTATTTTATAGCGAAAATCAATATGGAACGTCATGGTTTTCGGAGTTTTGGCGCCGAATTGACCAAATAAGACGCCGTACATCCCTTAGTAGTCAAAAATTAGACTAGCCACCTCGCTTTTAATGAAATCAACACTGTTTTTTAACGTTATTCTATCAAGAAAATCAATATAAAATCGGGAGGCAATAGCAAAAGTCATCGGTGCGT